TAATATTCATAGCACTTAACCTTGATGACCCAAAATGTTTAGAAAAAAAAATTATGTATCTCTACAGTTACACTACCAAGAAAAGGGTTAATGGAGAGGCACTAAGAGACAGAGATAGAGAGGAAGCGCGCCATTCTGGCGGGAGTAATATGATTGTTGAAATATATTATGTTGTTACAATTAAATTAAAGCTGTAACTATCATGTGTAAACTGTTACAAACCTTCATATTACTCATGAGTTGTTTATCCAGCGTCTGCAGCAGGAAGCGGTCGGAGACGTTGCGCGTGGTGCCGAGCAGGGAGCAGGCGAGCGCGCGCACCTGCATGCACAGGTCGTTCACAGCCGAACAGATGCGGACGAACGCGTCGTCCACAAGACGCATTGTCGTCTCACCGTCCGGTAGAGTTATTGTACTGAACAAAATATGCAACAAACATATAAAATACAGCTTTTCCTGAATCTAAAGTATTTTGCAATAAGATACTAGTAGACATTCCATAAACCTGGTTAGGTCTTTAGATAGTTTAAATCTGTACTGTTATAAGCATATATTAGTACAAATTTTGCTTATACTCAATTTATTCCTAAGTTTAAAATACCGCGTTTATTTTTAAGGCTGTAAGAGACAAAGAGACAAGATATGGATTTTCTCTAAAAGACAATATACACCCAAAAACAAAAAAATCATTTATGTCATTGACTACATCTTATGTGCTGATAAATTAAAAGCATTAATCAAATGCCGTTTAAAATAAAACTCTATACTTACTTCTCTGGATATTTATTTCCCAGCAGCCAAAGGAGCTTGAGAGCTACTTCTCGTACAATTTCATAATCATCAGACAATGATTCACAAACATGTTCATATAATGAGGCATTTAAAGTCTGACCTCGCTCATGTAATGTTAGAAGAGACTGGAATGCCTCACATCTCACTCTTGCATCCTAAAACAAAATGTTAATTATTAATAGGATTACTAAAATAATGGATGTTTACAGTAACTATGAACATATTGTATTTTCTAAGAAAAAAATCATCATTGATCACACTAAGAAATTTGAATATTGCAATTTGATTTCATTCTTATGCATATAATAAACGTGAAATTTAGATGGATAAATGGATGTTTCTTAGAATTTATAGCCTAAAGTAAATGGATCTTCATTAAATTGGATTAAAATGTAAAGGATTTTCTGGAATAACATAGGCTCCTTCGTTTTTTTAGATCCATGGGGAAAGAGTAATTAGTGAAAACAATAGTTTTCTATATATTGGGAGATAAAATGAGTCTATATTTGTACATTTACCTCAGCATTAGAGTAATCACCCAACAATTTGACAATAGCATCAGCTTCTGTTGTCATATCTTTAGTTCTATCTGACTCTGGATAGATAGGGTAGAGTTCGCTGATGAGCTGCAAACATCTGCACTTCACTGAGTGACTTGTGTCTTTTAGATTGTCTTTTGCAACATTTACTAGACGCATCATCAAAATCTTGTCATCATTCAACTTTGTGCCTAGTTTTAATAATGTTGCTATACCTTGAGCTATAACCTGGAAATAAACATTTAAATCCTATTAGAAACTCTTTCTATAAAACTTATAAGCAGTAATCACTAAATACCATAGAAATATCGAATATATAGTTGATTGAGAAGATAATACTTTATTTATTATTTACTTTACACTTTATGCACAAAAAAATTGAAAAATGAACACCAAGACTAGGTTTACCAGTGATGATATGTGTGCAAACTTATTGCAATAACACTTCATATAAATACTTGCCTTGTGTGATGTTTCATTTTTAATTAAATGTATTGTTTCTTCAATTAAATTGTTCAAGTTGGCACCTGGACATTCCAGGCCTATGTCGCAAAATAACCACAATATTTTAACTCTAACAACAGATTCCTCTTCAGATTGAAAATGTTCTGAAAGCTTTTTGATCGCTTCTTCGACATCGGACTCTTGAAATTGTAAACAATCCGATATTCTTAGCAGTAATTGAAGCGCTTCCTCGCTTGATTTGCATTTTTCCAAAAGTCCTACAAAAGCTGCTGCAGAACTGCCAATTAATGGTTTCTTAGCTAAATGCAGCTTTTTTGAAGATGGACCATCCTAAATAAAATAAATGTGATGAATCAAAACGTAAGTAGAATATCAAACATTTCAAATGGGCCTCAGAATACAGTATTGGGATTAATCATAACCTATGTACCTGGAATGATTTATTATATTCCGCTAAAGCTCTTTTCTTAAGTAAAGCCGCCATAGCGTACTAAATTGAAAACAACGGCTTTAGGCTGCCTTTAACACCAATACCTTTATTTATTTTCATAAGGTATTAGTAAATATGTAATTTTAACATAATAAACTGACGCTTTGTGACAAAACAATTTACAAAATGTCTTGTCAGTGTCAATATTGACATTTAACACTGACATTTTTTTTTTCAATTGCCATTATCACAGCGATAGTATCTTCGTCCTATCTCATTCTCGTTTGAAGTAGCTCTTTTTTGTATAATAATTAGAAACTATATGAGAAAACTAATCTCCCAATCTGACACCCAAAATACATAGGTATTAATTTTCCGAAAAAATAATGTTAACCAAATAAAAATGCCAAAGCCTTACGACATTGATCTTTGCCTGATTTTTGGATGAAAGAAAACCACAACATGTCATTCTCAGAAAACTTTCTGTCACACATTTTTTGCACTTGAAGGAAATGGAAAATGAAAAGTTCGTTGTTTTTTATTAAGTTAAAATATAATGTTTGTTTTGAATTATGTTGTAAATAAGTTACATTATTTTTAATTTGACTCTATTTATTCATGGGAAAGTTGGAAACAAGACAAATGTCTTTTAATTAAAAATGTCCAATTAACGCCTATAGTGTTACGTACACCTAGGCTCCTAGGTAAGTGGAGGTAACTTTCATTAAATATTAACGTAGAAGCCAAGGCCATACAGTAAAATTCATTGCACTTTTAATTTATGATTTTGACTACAAATGAGAATCTGAAAATTCTTTTATTTTTGTATACCTTGTTTCTAAAAATATAACATTTTTAAAGAAGTGAATTTCAGCATGCTTTTCATGTAATATAGAAAAATTAGGTCACTTTGTGTTGACATATGTTACAAATATTTACAAAGAGAGATAATTCCATTTAATGATGTAAGATAACAATATAGAGGGTTATTTGTTATTGGATGAATTCTGAAAACTCATTTTCTATAATAATTACTAAACATTAGTCTTTAGTATCTTAATTTTTTGAATAACAAGTATTTAGTACATTTTTCATATATTTGGAGTATATATTTAATCAAATTGGTTTTATTAAATTTCACTGCAATATGTTTATGTCAGTCACCTCATAAATCTTATTGATAAATACAAAAAAAACCTTTCAGTATAATAGTAAGATATCTTTGTTTCAGGATGTACAAGTTAGTAAATGTCTTAAGAAATCCAATATAAGGCTATGAATGAAACACAGCTTTTAGAAAGAAGCTGTCTTGTTGAGGGCAGCATCACAATGTCGGCTACAGAGAAGGATACCAGTAGACATTGGAAGGAGTTTGCTTGTGGTGGAGGGTCAGCTTTTTGCAATATCCTGATAAGCTATCCACTCAATAAACTTATATTTAGACAGGTAATTAAAAGAACATACTATTTAGACAAACTATATGCTTAAAAACTGCATAAATATTTGAACAAATATTGTATATGTGCCTATAGATAACAAATAAACTTAAATTTAATTCATTAAGTTATGATTCATATTACACACATGTAAACAATATTAATAAGTTACTTTTTATAACAATTACATTTAGTGTATGATTTATTATGATTTTATAAAAAAAAATATTTACAGATGATGCACGGAGTGGAAGCAACATTAGCATTAAATCAATTGCAAAAAGAGGGATTAACATATTTATACCGGGGAATGCTTCCCCCGCTGTTGCAGAGGTCAATCTCTATGTCACTTATGTTTGGTGTGTACGATGAGTGCCTTCAACCCTTGCTAAATTACAAAGTCAACCCTTATGTTGCCAAATCTATAGCAGGAGTGGTGGCAGGTTGCTTCGAAGCAACACTTATGCCATTCGAGAGACTACAAACTTTACTTATTCATCCCAAATTCCATAAGGAATTCAAAAATACTGCTCATGCAAGTCGCCATATTGCCAAATATTATGGTATTAAGGAATTTTATAGAGGGCTTGTGCCAATTCTCATCAGGAATGGACCTTCCAATGCCTTGTTCTTTATCATTAGAGATGAAGTACAATTGAGGATGCCGAAACAAGAGTATATTGTGTATGAAAGTCTACAAAATTTCTTAGCTGGAGCTTCGATTGGTGCATTCCTTAGTACATTGTTTTATCCCTTGAATGTTATAAAAATAGCAATGCAATGTGAACTAGGTGGTCCGCATCGAACTATTATATACGAGTTCAAATATATTCTACATAAGAGAGGATCAAAATTTGCCAATTTCTATCATGGTGCCCTCCTTAATATATCGCGAGCATTTTTAAGTTGGGGCATTATAAATGCCTCATATGAAATTTTTAGGAAAATTTTATACACCTAGTCAATGTAAGATATGTAATATCTGAAAAAAAAATTGTTGATCATTTTTGTTGAAGTTTTAAGTTAAGTATGTGTGTATATGAAATGTATTATAATGCTATTGTTATTTATACATAAATTATGTTTTATTATTATGAATTAGCATTTATTGGAATTCATAAGAAAAAAAAAATAAAAACAATCAGTGCTCTCACAAATAGTAATAAAAAAGTATTTTATTTATAGATTAACGGCCTGTCCCACCAAATTGTTGATTATCTGATAACAATCCAACATGTAAAATATATGATGGAAATATCCGTTTTGTTCCCTTATCTGACAGTGACCTAATTTTTAAGCTATCTGAGTCTTTATCAGCCAGTGATGGGACGGGCCCTTAATATTTTGAAGCATAAACAATGAATCAAAGGCATTTCATATATATTTGTGCTACTAATTAAAAAATCTCCATCTGTGGGTATCAGAATGTGTGAACAGTTTATTTCCTCTAACTTTAGTAGACAATGAATTTTAAGATGGAATTCAAATTCATTTTATTCTAAACATGTGTAACTTTTATAATAATATTTGGTCTGATTTTTATATTTAGTAGCTTTTAAAAAGTGTTTAATATTTGTAAAATCGCAACAAAAATCAAGGTAAACGGATTAGGTAAATAGATTTTTTATTTATTAAAAATCCAATTCACATTTAACTTATTCTTGCAAATAGTGTTTATATCCTTTTGCCCTGTAATATAAATTTCAATCAGTGTAGGCACAATAAAATAAATTAAGTAATGAAATTGTTTTTTTTTTTTCAATTTTCCGCTTCGTAGCCCAGCGGCCATCATTGATGAAATGTAATCAATGAGTCGTAAGTCAACGCAATAATTGAAACGCAATGAATTACAATGAAATATTTATTCCCTACAATACTGTATGGTCTGGAATTACTAAGTGTGATAAAACTTAGTGGTATGTTTGAACATGTCTTTTAACCCAAATAAGCTTAAATCTTGCGTCAGAATGTCTTTAACAACAACAGTCGAAGTCCATAAACAGCAACTTGAAGCAAATTCGTCCGGTCGGAATAAAAAAAAAAACTAGTATTAAATATAGTTCATGTTACTCTTTGATAATCTGATAGTGTAGCTTCCTAATGGTGAAATTGGTCCAGTCGTGTTTGGTTTTACTACTTATATACAGAAATACAGATCTTACCTATTGATAATATTAGTATAGAGTACCCTTAGCCATTAGACTATTGGCGTTTCGAAGATGTGTTGTTTGTAATGTTACAAAGACCAAGACATTTTTCTTCCATATATCTATAGTTAAGATAAAATACATCATCCTTGATACCTCAGTTTCAGAGCGCCCTGCATATCGTGAAGACTTTAGGTTTGAAAAAGCTTTCAATTCCTTCTACAAACTTCACTCAGCGGCGAGCTGGAGCAACGCCCGTATCCGTTGTGAGGCGGAAGGTTCCCACCTCATGGTGCCAGACACCCTTGACGAAGCTGACGCGATGCCTCTCCTCATTGCCTCCGCACTTACCAATTATCAAGGTGTCTACGTCGGTATACACGACTTTTACACCGAAAGATATTTTGTTACAATAAAAGGTTTGTTATAAATATTTTTCATATTATATGAACAGAATGTGCGATGTGTGTGCACAACGATATTATTTTGAGAAATGAATTCAACTTAAACGCCCAACTTTAATTTAAACGCCCCTCTGTCAACAATACATATTACTCATCACTTTGTTATTTTGGGGTACGAATTTGGTTTTATGTGTTTTATTGTAAAATGCAGTTAGGTACCTTATATTTTGTATCAAGGTAGCAAGTTGCGGGATTCCATTTTGGATTTACTATGGGAATCGGAACAACCCGTGCACGGTGGTGGCAGATGTGTTGCAATGCGAAGAAATGGGAGATTCTACGTGAACCCTTGCACGAATCGACTACCGTTTATATGTAAAACAAAGGCGAATCGTGTCTCTTACTATCAAGAATGTGATACGTTTGATTCACGTAAGTTCTTGCATTAAATTGAACTGCTCTTAGTGTGTGTTTTTATATTTCAAACTAATAAATTGCACTATTAGAATCGTAAAATCGAAGACCATGTGTGATTCGATAATTAACGCCATTTATCAACGATCTTTGCATATAATTATGCTGATATAATGTGTAGATATGAAGGTATCAAAATAAAAAATCAATGTGATCTATACCTACAACTGTCGATGACTTATTTAATTGATAATCTAATAATTAAAATATCTAAATGCAAGGTTGGAAATTGGGTAACAACGGTTCGTGCTATATAACCCATGCGGAGCCGCAGACGTGGCACGAGGCGCACGGCACCTGTCTCTCCGCAGGCGGCTACCTCGCCATACTCGACAGTAGAGATGAGGCCGAATACATACGGGAGCAATTCAAAGAAGTAGACCAGGTCAAGACACCTGGTGACTACGCATTCTTGGGATTCAGCGATCTCTTCCAAGCCTATCACTATAGAACTGTTCACGGTACAGTAATTTACAGACACAACAACTATAGTTTATTCAAATACAAATCCTAAAATTTTAACCATTACTAGTACTCTTTATTCTTTATAGTTTTGTTTAATTGCGAAATATAGTGTCATTGAATAATGTGGGTATTTGACAACATAAAGTAAAGCTTAAAACGATTTTCGCAAATTACTATTGATGGTAATTGCGTTTTTTAGGAAAGCCACTGAACCGTTTCTTAGACTGGGACTTGAAATGCCCTCAGTCAAATGAAGCAGAGACCAACGCAGACCGGTGTGGCGGCATTCGACGCAGCGGTCTACTCGCTACAGCTGACTGTACAGTTCCCGCTATTTTCTTTTGTGAAAAACCCGCCAAAGGCACATATCAATTTAAGAGTCTGCGCTATAATCCTTCGCATAAGCATCATAAGCATATTAAAAAAGAAATTAAAGTCGAGGAAAAAAGTTATTTGCTCTATTATTTTTATATGTGTGGATGTGGTATTTTCTCCTGCTTGTTAGTGTTTTGTAAGAAATCGTTTTGATATCAACGGGATTTTAAATAAATGAGATGCGTTTATATTGCAATAGTTATTTGAATTTTCGAAGTTATTGCATATCTTGCATGAAAAATATTGGTTCATCGTCAGCAGCAATTAGCATGGCTATGTTATTTACAACGGAGGCTAGTAAAACACCTTTCAAGTTATTTCGACTTAATTAATCGGAACTTTAAAATCTTTCGCGAGATATTACTTTAGATTAATTAAAAACGGTTCAATTAACGCAGAATCTGAAATAACTGGGTGAGCCCGGTGTTAAGAGGTAAGTGTAATTTATAATTACAGTGGTTATATGATTAGAACATTTTTGCTTGGATTTGGGTTTTATTTTATTAGTTTTTTTTTCATAATCTATATCTTTGCACCGTAGTGTATTTTAAAAGGTTTTTGCATCTGTTGCGTCCGGTCCGAATGACATGTGTTGTGTTACAATTCGACTTCGACACATGTCACTAGGCGTGAGTCGTTACGTCATTTTCGAGAAACG